CTGCAGAGGGAATGAAGACTTGAAGGCATCACAATTTTAGTCTGGTAATCAGTTACAGTGGGTTTTGATACAACATACATAGCCTTTTTGTCATCCTCAGTGGATTCCCGAGGATGATGAGTGAAGCAGAGGTCCCACAACCAAACATGTTTGGCTCACACTAGCTAAAGCAATTAGCAATCTACTCTTTGTATATCCATGACCAGTCCTATTGATCTGTTTCAAACATCTGGTTGGCATTCCTTTAATGAAGGATGAATGGAACAAGTTATAAAATYAGTTACATRTGATTGTAYAACTCCAGGYGAGCATAGATCATTGTAGTGGTGCTTGGMAATCTAATGCTGACTRAWCTGTGGGATGGTCTTTGGGCAGTAGTATAATTGTAACCACAATTATTTACATTAACTAAATTTACAGTTATGGGTTTAAGTACATGTAGGAGATAATGCAGGTCCTGCTCCAGAAATCACTGAATAATGTGATACTTGATATAGCAAGTCCTGTGCCTTCCTAGCTTTCTTTTGGTTCTGCTRTTGGTAGAATTGTTTGGCAAAGTATGCAGTGTGACTAAATTGTTACACTTAGACCATGTGTGCTTTGTAACTAAAATATATATCAGTGCGTTAGAGCTCTGGTATGTAAATATGAACAGTTAGGACTCCATCCTTAGCACGTGACTTGAAATAGGTTGATCTGGGTATTAGTCAGTTGTTGACAAATATTTATTGCATGAGAAAAATTAAATCAGAGTTGTTATTTTACAGTAGCATGTGTTCATAGAGAATTTCTATATCTAAGCTTATGAATTTTCTCCTATGTATTTAGTAACCAGATCCCATTTTTATTTTACAGTTGCTGCAGAGGGTAAAAGGAAAAGTGTGGAAGACTTTTTTCAGAAGGCAAGAAAGATATTAGAGGCATGAGAAAAGTAAGTGACTTCCCTGCTCTCTCACTGCAGCCTCAAGAGCTGGATGTACTGGGCTCTATAAAAGCTCCTGCACGTTTTTATCTTAATTACGCTAACAGTCCAAACACAGACAACACARGAGTTGATATAAGTGACACTGGCATTTACCATAATGCCTCTGCCTGGTGTAATCTTACTATTCCCTCATGAGTCACAACAGAAATCAATGCAATAAGTCTGCCTGAAAACATATCTTTAATATGTGGCAACAGAGSACAGAACGGCAATCCAGGTAAAGCAGGGGGAGGTCCACGCACTTTTGGTTGTTTAACTGTGTTCATCCCAGTCTTGAAACATGAACTAGTTGGACACTACAACATAAGCAAAATAAACATGATGCTGAGTCATTTGGCCCTGACTG